AGCTTCTCAACAAAGGATGTTGAGGTTGATAAAACATACACATCATCAGTTCTTTTACCAACATGAACAACATCAGCTTTTAATTCTTCAATATTTCGAAGAAATTTCACATCATTAGGGCCAAATAAGACATAATTCCCAGAGTCCACAGCATTTGCAACTGAGAAAAGATTTTTTGTCATACCTGGGACATGATACACATTAGTGAGTGTAATGGAATTTTCCTTGCATCCACCGAGAATAACTGTCCCTTCTTTTTCCACGGAGTGAACCGTGTTGTCAGCTGTGATAACTGCATCTTTGCCTTTATGAAGATGGAGACTTGAGAACTTGGAAGCATCACCAGTCACATGATGACCACAACCAGAATCTATGATCCAATCATTCTTAAAATCAATTGAAGCAGAATTGGATGCAATTTTGGCCATGAAACACTTTCCCCAGTCTTCTTCATTGCTTTGAGAAGAACCTTGTTTATCATCACCTTCAGCTTCAACCCAATTTCCTTGCATCAGCTTGACACGACAATTTTTCTTCACATGTCCAAGTTTACCACACCGGTAGCATCTAAAGAATTTCTTCTCGAAATTTGAAGAATAAGAGGGACCAACTCTATATTCTGCACCATCTTTCTTTTCTTTTGAGTTGAAGATTTTCCTTTTCTCAGCTACAAGAACATTTTTGTTGTCAACACCACCACCTTGATAAGTCACAGATAAACTTGCCATTTGCTTGGCCAAAGACTCTTGTGAGGACAAGAGATTTTCAAACTCTTCCAAGGATGGTTGTTGAGCCCACCCTTGAATTGAGGTGACATAAGGAATGTACTCTGGCTTTAACCCGCGAACAATATGCCGCTTCATACGAGCTTCAGAGATAGGCTCGTCTGGATCCAAAATTGAAATTTCTGAACATAAATTTTTAATTTTCAGAAAAAATTGAGCCATAGATAGGTCCCCTTGACAGGCATTAGATAGTTGATTCTCCAAGAACTGCAGCCGAGCCACATCTTTCTTGTTGAATAACCTGTCTAGTGTTTCCCAAATTTCATTTGCAGATTTGCAACGAATTATGTGCTCAAACATTCCATGAGAAATAGACCTCTTCAAGGAAAATTCTGCCTTAGCATTCCTTTGCCTCCATTGCTTAAAAGCCTCAGCATTTTCTTCATTATTTGCTGGAGCAGTAATGTCATTACCATCAACAACATCCCAAAGGTCCTCACCAATAAGATAAGATTCCATGCAAGTCTTCCATACATTATAATTGGACTGGTTCAATAATTCCATACCAAGTCCAACAACATGACCACTCGAATCCATTTTGGAACACCGGTTGATTTCCTTCACAAGAGATCTTGTCACAGAGCAATTGCTTATCTCTCTAGCTCTGATACCATGTAAACAAATCTTACTGCAACCAAAGACACACTAACCCAAGATCAGCAACCTTAGTGAAGAAAAGCAAACCAAAGAACTTCAAAAAATGGCTAAAAAGGAACAAGACTTGTATATCTGAATTTCTTCTATTACTTAGAAAATAAGATGATGAAAATACATAAACACTGTTGAAATGAAAAGAAGTTACAAACTGTAAAAGAAACTGTCACACCACTAAACAAAATAAAATAATTGTAACTGACACAAACAAATTTGATCTCACACGCTTACATAACTGAAAGTTGAAGAGCTATTCATAAACAGTACCCTTCTAGAAAATTACTTTACTAATTTTAACAATTTCCTGCTCGCTTGAGTGTTGTAAGGTTATGACTATGTCGCTTCCACAGACAACCCAAATGTTGTTGGAAAAAATATCCCGGTTGGGTTGCGACTTGGGTCTTGGTTAGCTCTAACTTGAATATGGGCAAGTCCGGAGGAAGTGTTCTTAGGGTAAATTCTCCAACCTCGAGTCAGAAATAATCTACCAGTGTAGAGGGAATTTTAAGTGGAGTTAATTACTGTTAGAAGGGTGGATGAGTAGTATTTATAACTCTGAAATACTCGTCGACTGTCCCACATCCCTTTGTCCACTTGTCAACGAACCTCTCCTTCGTGGGCTTTCATTGATGGGCCTCTTCTAGACATGCAACCCACAATGTATGTTTTGATTTAAAACTAGTCTATTCTGAAGTGGGTACGTTTGGAATTGTTGTTGGAGTTTTTTTTGGGTAATTATATAATATTTTTAGATATATATATATTTAGTAATTTTTTAAATTAGTTTTTGTAAAAATTATAGTAAATTTACAATAATTTTATATATAAAGTTAAAAATTTTATTTTAGAATTATGTGATTGCGGTTTTCATGTAAAACACTTAATATTTAATATAATTATAAAATTACTCATTAAAATTTAATTTTATATAATTTAATTATATCATAATTTATAATATTTTAATAATTAAAATTTTTAAAATATTAAAAAAAAAAATAACCAAATACCAAAATAATTTTTAATCACATCTATAACGTAATATAATTACAGTTAAATATAGCAACGTAAATTCATAGCAATTCCAAACGTATCCGCACACTTTTAAACGAAACAGTTTTTCTCTCAACGTGGGAGTGTTTGTTTGGCCGTGGTCGGCAACAATGATTTTCCTTCGTTCTTACATATTTTCTTTACTTTTGTTCTCAACTCTTTTCGTAAGTATCTTGGTTAGAGGTGACTATTCTCATCCCTCAATGGAGGCTATGAAGCAGGAGGGGGTTACTGGTGAGAAGGGAGAGCCGAAGCCACTGGCTTTGTTGTCCTGCGATTTGAGAAGTCACGGGAGTCGGTGCTGATGGGAGATAGTCTCGCGAGCCCTCAAGGTTGGGAAGCCATGGGATGTTTTTTTATGAGGACGCCTTAATATTGTCGTCGTGGAGATGATGTCGGCAGGGGTTCAAAGGCTGGATGTGTTGCTTTTGCTGACTCGTGAGGTTGTTGTGGAGGGGGAAAGTGCTGCAGCGGTATTGGCTCGGTTGAGGGTGGCGGCACAGTGGTAATGGACGATGAAGAGGTGGCGCAAGTTCTTGGCATGCAAGAGTAGAAGCCGGCGAGTTTTTGTGGGAGGAATATTTGGCCATTGAGGTAGAGATTTTCGGATGAAGAATTAGGAAACTGATCTTCAGACTTTTAATTTTATTTTTTTCCTATTAAGGTAGGTTTGCTTTTAATAGGATGGATTTTAGTTTGGTTAAATATCAATTTTTGTCTCTTAATTTTAAAGTTTTGCATAATTTTTGTTTCTCAAATTTTTTATGTACTTTTTTTATTTTTTAACGATTAAAAAATGCACTTTTTTTTTAATCTTTTCATTAGTTAATCTGTTAAATTTATCTAAATATATACATTTTTAGTCTCTTAATGGACAAAAATATGCATATATTAGAAATTAAAAGATTAAAAATATATAAATTCATATTGATTTAATAGATTAACTAATAGAAAGACTAAAAAATA